GTTCACTGTGTACTTTTGCTTAATAACTCTCTGCAGAACCTGGTTTGTAGCAGCCTTGAAAGATTGATCTATCAGCAAGCTGTTTCTTTACAAATATTGTTTTCCAATATTTTTTAGTTATCTGTATCTTTCTCTCCTCTCTGTGCCTTTCCTTGACACTGTCATTTCTGTGATTCTGTTTTTTTGTTTGTCATTTTCCCCAGCGTAGATTTTTGTTCTCATACAATCACCCGCATCTTTTCTCTGGCTGTTGTACCTTTGACCTGTTCTCTTCTTTGCACTCTGCAGGCACCTTGAAAACACAACAGATTTATTATTTTGAAAAAGTTATTGAAAAGGAAACATTGTGTGACAAGAGCTGGCTGATGTGGATGCTGTTTAATACATGTTTACAAGAGTCCACAAAATGCTGAAAAATAGAATCCCCCCCCCGAGTATCCATCTATGGCGTATGTAAAGGAAGAGAGTCATGATTGTACTGAGCCATGGGAGAGTTTTTTTGTGGCTTAATAAATAAATATTAAATAATAAAGATGGGCGCTGAAACCAGGGAGTCTGGACAACTCCTCTAAGCATTGCTGACAGGACATCTTGGATCATTAGGAACTTTTTTTTCACCTTTGAGACCTCATAACAGGGATCCTTTAGTAATCAGGCTGCAGCTGATGTATTACAAATGCATATGAAGAAGGAACCTTGAGGCAACCCAACCAGATGAACCACCTTTGCACCAGTATGTGGCTTGCCAATGTGTTAGCACCCTCTGTTTACTGGCTTGCCAAATTAAGGCTAGGCATAGATAAAAATGTATTCCCCATCCACACAAGTGACTTGGGCAAAGAAATTCCCCCCCTCACCCGTTGTGAAGTGTGGATTAAACTCTGTGGAGGCCCCTAGGCAATTAAAACGGTGGGCCTCCCTTCGCAAGTTTTTTGAGGTTCTCATGTGCTCTAGTGGGACAACATTGAACTAAGTAGTGTGCACGTCAGCCACTAGACAGAGATGACCATCAATACTGTACAATACACGCATGTATGTTGCACCAAATTTTTTTACAAAATGACAACTGATAGAAGATGAGCGCTTTTAAGAGACAAACTGTAATGTGAACCTGATGTCTATAGTTTATGTACTTTGAGTTGTTGTTGGGTAATTTTCTTTCAAGATCAATTATTTCTGATCAGTTGTTGCAAGGCCCTTAAACAGCGTGAGGCCCATAGGCCATGCCTATTCTGCCTATTTGGTAATCCAGCACTGCCGCTGTGCTATTGTGTCCTGACAGCAGGGACTCCTCTTTTGTCAGAATATATTGATCACTTCTGCAGCAGATTGGCTGCAGCCACTGATTGAAGGAAACATTTCCAACATTCCCATTGATAGAAGTAAAAAGAACAGGAAACAAATGTGTCTGCTCTATACTGAATCATCCAAATTACATCCACCTATGGCCTTCAGTTATGCCTCATAGGAGAACTATGTGTCAGAGGTGGCTGTCATAGAAAAGTAATGGGCATTCCATCAACAGTAAGTAATTATACAGTATATTTTTTCCATTAATTTGAGCTGCAATCAATCTTGTAATAATGTCCTCTAACAGACGACCTGCATCTCTCCCTTCCCAATAAACTGGAACTCTTGGGTAGATAAATGATCAGGCAGATTGGAAAATCTTATCTAATTGCTATTCTCTCATACATAATCCTGCTCTATTGGTATTTCTATTGAGCTCCCCAATGCCTTGAACACAAATGTCTACCTGAGGTGACCAGTTTCATTTATGGATCACTCACACTATGTGCAGTGCCTACATTTCTACACCCTGGAAAAACACAAATGACTGCTAGGACACATAGAAAACATTTTTTTTCCATGTGCCTCGTTCACGCCACAACGCTAGTGTGATGTGTGGCGTGGTGCAGTGAGTAAAAATGCAGCATGTCTGCATTTTTCTGCAGTGTACTGGATGGCACCACCTGTGCAGTGGCATAAATGAAGTTTCAGTATGTGGCATATCAAATAAAGTTAAATAAAAGGACTTTTTTTTTCTCTTCTTGTTTTTCTTTTCTCCCTAGTCTTCCTTTACTGTAATCTATCTTTTGAAAATTGGAAAAAACATGGGAATGGCAGTTGCTACTATAATGTAGCCTTTCACATATACTGCTTAGTTGTTTTTTTGAAAGAGAGGTCTCTCTCTGTGTCCTACTCTGTGACTGGCCTTGTTCCATTGCATTGTCATTTCCTTTAAATGAAGAATTTATATATTAAAAAAAAAAACAAGGAAGCAGTGCAATGCACTGAAATGCATCAAATACATCTGATATACAATGGCCAGGCCAGTGCAGGGCCTATGGTTGGAAAGCTGAACAACAGTGGGAGGTGTGGGTGCTATTGTTATATACATAATGTAGTCTGGACTTTAGTCCCTTTAACATACCCAGCAGGACTTTCCTCCACCACAGTTTGTCACTACCACTGCCAGTCTGGAGGACTGTGCAAGAAAGGAAAATGTGTCCACGGTGCAGAAGCTGCAGTGGCTATTTTGATGAAGACTACAGGGCGGTGGCTATATTGGAGGAGACTGTGGACAATGCTAAGCGAAAGGTGTCTCCAACACAGGGGTGGCCATTTTTGAGAGGACCAGAAATTTACTGGGAAGGATGATTATTGGCTGCAGGAGCAGGCAGGCGGTAAGAACCCACCCAACAGTACAGAGCAACAGGGGCTACAGGGACATGTAGCCCCCACACAGAAACTTTTCCCTATACAGAAGGAGGTTAAGACCACAAACATGAAAGTGAATGGAGGAGAAGGGAGAGAATTGATAGCCCGGGCTAAGGTAAGGGTACTCTCATGTTTGGAGCAACTACTTGTCAAAGGGACACTCTGGGGCTAAATGCTGGCTCTGTAGTACTGAGGAGGACCTGTGTTTCTCAGCCTGTTTGTCATAGATAAGCAGTAAAAGCTGTTGCTGTTCTGTTATTTGTGGTTCAACAGACTGGCAGTCAAGCTGTCACTTGTAGTCCAACAGATCAGCAGGCAAGCCAAAATGTTACAAGTGCTCTGTTCTTACGTTACTATTCACTGCACAGTGCTATAGGCATTAGCTGATCTTATCTGCTTATTAATACAATCATCTACATAGCTAGTCTCTGACCATCTTGGCTATCTATCTCTATGTCAAATTATAGCCATTTAGATGGACACCCTTTCCCTCCTGCTGGGCTGCAGCTCATCAGAAAGGCTTCTTCCTCTTCTTATGTCTAAACTCAACACATTTGCAAGTTAGATGCCAAGCCCTGTACCTGCCTGCTATCCAGCCTACTTTCATCCACTGATTACCATATTCCTACCCTTGGCTTAAAGGCTACATTCACCTTTTTATTTCTAAATTCCAGCTCCCCTGTGTACTAATATACCATGTTGCAGAAAAATAAAAAGCTTTCTTTGATTTTTAGAACAAGGTCTTATCTAAGTCCCTGGGGTGTTCCACAGAAAAGTTCATGACTTCCTGGTATGTAGATTTAGGACATAAAAACCAGTAAGACACAGGAAGCAGTTCACCAGCTGACCTCATTAGCACACACACACCCCCTGCAGCCATCAGCTGTTTGCACAGCATCCCCAGAATCCCTCCAACTGTGCATTTGCCTGCCTTGTCAATGTACGCTGCCACAGCTGCTGTTTGCATGGCATCCCCAGCGTCCAAACTCTCAGGGGCTGCATGCACCCTGTGGGCTGCAGGTTGGACACCCCTGGTTTAGTGCAAGGGCCTGCCTGATTGGATACAGAACGAATAGCTAGATAGGTGGGTCATCCTATCTATCCAAACATAGCAGCTGTGGCAGCCTACATTGGAACACACCAGGGGCTAAGGTAAGGCCTTGTTCTAAAAATCAAAGAAAGATTTTATTTTTCTGCAGCAAAGGTATATTAATTGTATATTGGTACATGAGCGAGCTGGAATTTAAAAACAAAAAGTCTTTAATTGCTGGCTTTCCAAGTCTACTACCTGTAGACAGGTGGAGGTAAAGTGCCCGTTTTGGCCCTTGTACTAGGTGGGCTGTTAGCCTTGCCCTGCCCTCTCCCTTTTTACACTGTATTTTGGAGGAGAAGCTCACTCACTCTCAGCTACTGAGGAAGAAGTAGTGTAGGAGAGCTTCCCCCTTGGAGCTTGGGGAGTAAATAATGGAGCATCAGGCCTGGGGACTGATTCTCAATAAGACACTGAATGAGTACACCCTAGAACCCCTCCTGCAGCTTAGTGTATAGTGGGACTGTGTGTAGTACACATATTTAACTTTACCCCAGGATTCGGAACAAATTATTTCATGATGTGCATCTAATATCATATACTGGACTGTTAAATGGAACAAACCCTGTAATCTGCCATTGTATGGACTGTTACATTTTCAAAAACTTTTGGTAAATAAATATCAAGCAGAATAATCAACTTGTTTTGTTATTGCCTCAACTGGGGAATGGACAGTGCATCATATATAGTTACACAATACTGTCCTGCGGTGTGTGAAGAAGAAATAATTCAGTTAAAGTGGCTGTAAGCCCTTACATATACCCAGTGAATTGACTGGCCACAGGTGTTACATGCAGAGAAAAAAACAAATCTTCCTACATAAGTTGTACCTGTTTATCTGCAGTCTTCTCTTTACCACATCCATTCAAAGTCCAAAATATATATAAATCATGTAAGAGCTTTCAGAAAAAGGGGGCGGAGAGCTAAAATTACACACTGCCGAGCTCAGTGGGGAGAGCTCTGACAGCTGATTTGGAGGGAAGGGAAGGGACCCCCTCCCTTCACACAGCACACAGGAACAGAACTGAGGTTGTCAATCTGTTGGAGGTCTCTCCCCTGTCCCCTATTTCTCTTGGTGTAAGGAAAACTTGTCAGAAGCGACTTATGCAGATAGCAGAGGAACAAGGCAGTAAACAGAAATGACAGTTATTGATCTGGATTGAGACAAGTACACATTATAGAGGGATATGCTTTGTACATATTTCATGTCTGATGTTTACAACCACTTTAGGAATGGAGTCATATTAACTGTGAAGTGTTTGGTGCAACCTGGTCAGCCTCAGAGCTGGTGGTGGTTGGAGAAACAGAGTCCCCTCCCAGTGGTGAGATATGGCCTCCCTAGGTGGCATGCACCAGGTGACTCGAACCCAGGGGCGGACTGACAACTCATGGGGCCCCCGGGCAATAGGGGATCATGGGACCCCTATGTCCTTGCCCAAACTCAAAAAAGCCTATGAAAAAGGTACCAGGGGCATCTCATGGGGCCCCCTACTGACCCCAGGCCCTCGGGCAGTGCCCGAGTTTCCAATTGGTCAGTCCACCCCTGCTCGTACCCCCTGTGTCACATTGGCCCTGAGTGTTTGGATGAACTTTGGGAGCTCTGACCAGGACCATGAGAAAATCACAGGCCTGTATAAGTGTGAGCTCTGGGCAAGAAGGGGCAAAGTAGTGGTAACCAGGGGATGAGAAGAGACTGTAGCCTCTGGCATGCATCTAAGCACCTGTAAAATGAGAGTTTGTCATGAAAAAAGGTAAAGTGCTGAAGGCTCTGGCAACTGGGTGGGCTGCTCTGATGCATGTGCTCCTCATGTGTATGGTACACAATACAGAGTGGCCCCATCCTTTGGCTTCATTCTTGGTTACCCAAGTTCACTGCTAAACCTCATCTCTGACCTCTACCTTCTCTACTGTGTCCATAACCAGCTCCATTCTCTGGACTGTCACCGTAGTGTATCTTCCTGCTTCAGACCTACTTCCTGGTACTTTCTTTCCTACAAATCCTTGGTCTTGACTAAGATGAACCTAGGGGTTACAATCTGGGGACAGCATGCAGCAAAACCATCCATCAAGATCTCTAGTGAATACCTGCTGATGCTAGTAAGCAGAATGTAAATGAAAGAAAGCAATATTGGTATGTGGACATGTGGTGGCTTACTGTGCGCTGTGATAAAATGCAGCATGTCTCACTACACTGCACCTCTGGGCTGCATTGCACTGCAAACACGGTACGTAGAAAATTCTGTGTCCACCTGTGATTGGTGTTCTTCACATCAGACAGCCTCCGAGCAACCAGTGACATTGAAGTAAATGGAGCTTGATAGGGAAGTTGAGACACTAGTTCCCCATCAGGTCTGCTCTCGCCTTTTAACTGACAACAGAAAGTGGGGAGATTCTATAGCTAGTAGTGGGCTGTCTATTGCCTATGGCAGGGGTGTCCAAACTATGACCCTCCAGGTGTTGAGGAACTGCAAGTCCCATGAGGCCTTGCAAGACTCTGACATCCACAGGCAAGACACCCAGAGGAAGAGACATGATGGGACTTGTAGTACTTCAACAGCTGGAGGGCCATAGTTTGGACACCCCTGGCCTATGGATAAGCGCACTGTCTGCGGTCAATCACAAGGGGAGTGGAAAATAATGAAGATTACTTTTTTAGATTACATTAACATGTCAATGTTTATATGAGATTTTAGTGAGTTTACATATAGCATAACCTGACAAGTTTCATCACAACTGTGGCTTCATCAAAGATTTCAAGTCAAACAAGCATAAATGTGCATGGGAGCACCCCAGGGCTTAGTGACAAACCCTTTTTACTACAGGCTCGTTCACACCACAATTCAGTGCAGGAAGCCCGCATTCCTTCCCTTTTCCTGTACTGCTTTTAAAGTGCACGGGGTGTGCGATATGCTGCGGGTGTCATTGCATTTCTAACAACTTTGCAAACACAGATTACAAACGCACTGCATTTGCCTGCCTGAATCACATCGTACCACAGTACCATAATATTCAGGTGGAGTGCGTTTTGTAGAAATAGCACATGCCCTACTTTTGGTGCAATCCAGTGTGATTTCAGCCCATTCAAATCAAATGGCTGAAAATCACATTGCACTGAATCGAACAGGAAAGTGAACCAGCACTTAAACAGAATGTTGTCTAAAGCAGGTCTCATTTTCTAGCACAAGTCATCTTTCTGAAATATTATTGTTTCTTTCAAATGGTGAATCCAAAAAGAAAGCATACATAACTTTTATATTCTGTACTGAATGTTGTCATTTTTGCCTTGAGTTCTTTAAATAAATGAGAAAAAAATCCATCTAGTATATACCCTACAGTATACAGTATGTGAACAGAAATTTATGCATGCATCCTTCAGAAATGATTACTCTTTTTATCAATCAAACCTGTGACTGCTATTAGCACGGGGTCCTTTCTACGGCAAGGTACAGCATGTAAAAGGCACAATTGGATGTCTGCAGTGAGCCTGACATTTTGCTGTTGAAAAGACTGAAGTTTCTAACTTCGTATGAATTAGTTTTATATATATATATATATATACTAAAAAAATAATTTAAAATGTAATACATTTTAGGGTATATTTAAATTTATAGACTAGATGTTGCATAGCTTAGATCAGCGTTTTTCAACCACTGTGCCGCGGCACACTAGTGTGCCGTGAGATATTGTCTGGTGTGCCGTGGGAAAAATTGCAATTTCATCCGTAACATGTGGCCTCGGCTCACAAATAGACCAATCATTAGAACAGCAATGGGCAAACTACGGCCCGTTTTAATCCGGCCCGCGGAGCGTGATACTGTCAGGATAATCTGTCCCCCTCGACGTATCTGCGCATGTGCCGGAGATCGCTGATCGGCTGCTAATGCCTGAAACTGGCACATGCGCAGATACGTCGAGGGGGACAGATCCTCATAGGAGACAGATTTTCATGCTACACCAGAATGGCGAGAGGAACGCGCGGAGCAAAGGTAAGTGAATTGACACAGGGGGGGCTTGGGGACTTAATATGGGGGATGAATTAATATGGGGGATGAATTACTATGGGGGATGAATTACTATGGGGGATGAATTACTATATGGGGGATGAATTACTATGGGGGATGAATTACTATAGGGGGGATGAATTACTATGGGGGATGAATTACTATATGGGGGATGAATTACTATGGGGGGTGAGGTACTATATGGGGGATTAATTACTATGCTTACTATGGGGGAATATTACTATACTTACTATGGATGACACATACACATCATTCATCTACTCTTGGTCCGGCCCCCGGGTCCAATTATAAAATACTTTATTATTTCATAATAAAGTAATTATAAAATAATTTCTTTGTGTTTGATTCCTATTCAAGAGAATTACTTTATATATAGTCAATATAGGCACAGAGGTAAATTTTTTTAACATTTTCTAATGGTGGTGTGCCTCGTGATTTTTTTCATGAAAAAAGTGTCCCTTTGCACAAAAAAGGTTGAAAAACACTGGCTTAGATACAGGTTCTACCAGCATTGTTATTCTCATAGATTACAGCAGACTCTATGCTGTAAAGTCATTTTGATATTAATTCTGTCTTTTTTTTTTTTTTAGTTTATAATATTTTATTTTTGATGTGCTTGCTATCCCATAGTTACGTGAAGAGAAGAATACAAGAAATAAAATTGCATTTTCGTTTCTCCCTTAGTTTCAGGATGAAAATCAGACTTGACAGTAAAATAATAACATAGGTTAAGCATTGGATTATTTATGGGTAACTCCACTTTCACGGGAAAAAGATGCAAATAAAAAATTATATGCAGTAGAATATACAATTGCTACACAAGTCATATTGTAATTGAATGTTATTAAAAATTACCTTTCCTTTTCAATCTGCAGCACTGTTATTTTCTTTAAATACAATACAATACAATACAATATGGCAACCTGGTGGCTTTCCGTAAACAGTTTGTGTACAGAATTCCCCTAGAATTGTGATTGCTTGCTTGTGTGATTGGTTACTGATTTTCCTAGAAGTCTGCACTAAGATACAAGTCAGATTTTAGGAATCCACTGCAACAAAACTTGGTGAGATTGGTTTTTGGTGAGATTCTCTCAAAGGGTTAATCACTTCCAAAGGAATGCAGGCTCTTCAATTGTCCTCATTAGAACACTGCAAGTGCATCAGCTGATTGGTAATAAAAAAAAAGCCACTCCCGCTCAGACTCATTCTGCATACCACAAACAGCTTTTTCTTCAGAGCAGAAGCAGGTAGGAATCTGAAACAAAGTTTGTTAAAAATCCGTGCAATGTACATAGATCACCCAGAGGAGATTGGGTTTTTTTCCAACAAAAGTGGAGTTACTCTTTAAAGAGAAATAATGTTTTGTCAGTTAAATAAAAAATATTTACTTAGAACTGCAAAGTTTAGTTTTACCCCATGGATGTCTTAAAGATGTTGTCCAGGTTTCATCTCACTATGGCAGAAGGGTGAGTGTTCAGATGTCATTAACATTGTCTCCGTATTTCCATACATGCACAGTGTATGTGGAATGTTGCCGGTAGTATGTCAATGGAATCCAGCACGTATGTGGTAAACACCAGTCTCGAAAGTCACTGCTGAGCATGTATGGAATTATAGTCTGTAATTAATCCTACACCAAACAAATTAGATAGTTTATTTTAAAGAACTTAAAACATCAATAAGCCCACAAAAGACCCATAGTGTCACAAGGAACTTTTGGGAGACACCATCCCAAAGCTTAAGTCCTGTAAGTTGTGAGGTGGGGCATCCATAGTTTGGACTTGTTTTTCTAGCACACCCTACAGATGCTTGATGATTTGAGATCTGGAGAATTTGGAAGCCAAGTCTCAAACTCATTGTTGTGTTCCTCAAATAATTTTTTAACCATTTTTGCAGTGTGGCAGCGAGCATTATCCTCCTGATGGCCAATACCATCAGGAAATACCATTTCCATGAAGGTGTGTATTTGGTCAGCAGCAATGTTTAGGTAGATGGTTTGTGTAAAAGTAACAGCCACATGGATGGCAGGACTGAAGGTTTCCCAGCAGAACATTGCCTGAAGCATCACACTGCCTTTGCCGGCTTGCCTTCTTCCCATAAAGCATCCTGGTGCCATCTCTTCCCCAGGTAACCGACGCACACACACCCGACCATCCAGATGATGTAAAAGGAAACGTGATTCATTAGACCAGGCCAGGGGCTGACTGCCCATTTGGAAACTCGGGCACTGCCCGAGGGCTCATGTTCAGTAGGGGGCCCCATGAGATGCCCCTGGTACCTTTTTCATAGGCTTTTTTGAGTTTGGGCAAGGACACAGGGGCCCCATGATCCCCTATTGCCTGGGGGCCCCATGAGTTGTCAGTCTGCCCCTGGACCAGGCCACCTTCTTCCATTGCTCCGTGGTCCAGTTCTGATGCTCACATGCCCATTATAGGCACTTTTGGCTGTGAACACGGGCCAGCATGGGCACCATGACCGCTGCCTATTTTTTCTGCTTTCAACATTTCAGTTTCAGTGACAACATGTTTT